ACTAGACTGAAGAACAAAAGGACAGCAACTTGTCTGTTTCCCTTCCCCGATTCCCCAATGCTATTCCCCTTCCCCAATTCCCCAATAAAAAAAATCTTAAAAAAAAAAAAATCAGAGGACAGGAGACAGAGGGAGAGGTTCCCATTCTTATACAGGAGAGAAGATAGCCAGACTACAAGAATGCCCAGTCTAGGCCATTCTCAAGCTTGAATTCTTCAAAAGAAGATTTTCCCACAATGGAACTTACCCTCTTCCGTCTACCTAAATATTAAAACACGGCTAATAGCAAAACAAATGAGCTTGCATTCTCTGTGTCCATGTCAACTAAATGCAACAACACGACAGCCAGAGGTGTATCCGGAGGGAAAGGACAGCAGACGGAGACTAGACATTTGTTGTGGGTTATCCACAAAGGGATGAAAGAGAGATGAGAGTCTAGAGAGCCTACTGCACTCCATGCCCCTCTCCTGTCCCAGGGCCCAAGGCCTGAGGCCCTGCCCCAGAAGCACACCGCAGGCCCGGCGCCCAGTCTCCTGCGTCAGTGTCTGTGGGGGGCTACGCAGGCAAGGGCTGGGGACTGCACTTGGCACAGCTTTGCTCTCAGCTCATCTGTGCTCAGACTCCTTCTGTCTCCTCCTGTTACAGCCCCAGGTCCTGGAGTATCTCAAGGCAAATTTCTGCTGCTTTTTCAAAAAAGACCTTGCCAGCTGCATGAGGAGGGGAGTACTGGGCAGTGCCTGTAAGAACCAGTTCGTGAATATTTAACATCGCCCCCAAAAGCCATGAGGCTCCCCCAGTGCAACAATACCCCTCCTCTGGCTAAGCACAAAGGCAGGGGCTGGCTCCTGTATCTGCACAGCTCAAGCGGGAGGGCGTGGAGGAGGGGGTGCTACGCCTAGATCCTGTTCCGGGGAGACCCCCGCCAAGCCAACCGTCAGTCCAGTCTATTTTCCACATTTTGTTCCCACCCAGCGGGTCTCGATTCTGTACTCTGCTCCCTGGTGTTGTTAGCACTTTGCAGTCACACTGACATCATCCCGTTATGTCTAAGCCCAGCTCCCTCCCTCTCCTTGGATCAGCTGATGGCTTCTCACCAGCTCCACTGGGCCACATGCCTGCTTGCCTCTCCCTCAGCCTCCCTCTTGCGCTCACACTCATTCTCCGTGTCTGTTCCATGAGCCTATCCCTTTTAATTCTGTAATAGACTGGGAATGGGTTTAAGCAGGCGGCAGGAGAGGAGGGGGGAGAGGAGGGAGAGGCAGGCATTCTTGCCATCCTACTGCCCTCTCATGGAACCGTGAGCAAAGTGACTGTCGACAGTGAGACACAGCAGCATAAACCACGGAATCAGCTCTCCTTCTAGGGCTGCCTGGGGTGCCCTGGAGTGGGCAGAGGTAGGCAGCTCACAGCATCCAAGGTCTATAAACCTGGACAAAAGCCATTGTCAAAAGGTGTGGTCCACGCAGAGGCAGCTTTTTCCTGTCCTGAAACCCCTCATTCATGCCCACCACTAACCTTCCCCACCAGGAAAGCCTTCGTTCCCACCTGAGGTTAGACACAGGAACCCAACACTCCATGTGGCATCCGTTGAGATGCTAGAGACAGGGGTGGGAAGTGTTAAACACACCTCCCACTCCAGACATTTCCCCCCATCACACTGGGCTGCCTATTTATATTAAGAGGTTATAAGAAATATGTTTAAAACCTTCCACTCACTCAAAGAAGCATTTACTCATCAGAAGGGAAGTTTTTGGAAATTAAGGACATGTCAAAGAAGAAAATCCATTTTCTTGTTGACATTTATAATCCATTATGAAACAAAAACTAACTAAAAGTCCAACTCCATCATGATCAGTCCACTTGGGGGTCTTTAATCCAGCAGCTGACAGCAGGGACCAAGTATCCACTCTGCCCAGGACATGGGAAAGCCAAGGGAAGAAAACAGCACAGCACAGCACAGCACAGCACAGCCTGCCAGGATGCCCATCCTGTCCAACGTGGCTCATTCATTCATTCACCTATTCATTCTCTCAGTTGCTCAGCAAACTTACCCAGGCCCTTCCTATGTTCCAGGCAGTGGGCCAGGTCCTGGACATATAGACATGAATAGGGCAGAACCTCTACTCTCACTGTGCTCGGTCTTGAGACTGTCCTCCAAAAGTAAGTCCTCCTGACACCCCACTCCTATTCATGGTCATCCTTTCTAGGCTCGAAATCTGAGCTATTGATTCCATCAGTGTTATAAGGTCTTAATGGTAGATCAGAAGAAAACAAAGCTGTCACTTCAGGGAAGCAAACAGACTGAAGGCTTTGGATTTAATGCAAACAGACCAGGCACCACTCGGAAGAGTTTCAAAGTAGACACAGATCAGATTGATGATAAAGACGGGACACTCAGAAAAAAGTGTCACATTTGGAAGAAAGTCACAATCAAAATGTATCTGATGGTGCAGAGCCAAAACTACAAACAGTCTGAGGTGATAAAGAAAGCCTAACCATAGAAAGGGGCCTGCTGGCCCAGCCGAGTGGCTCAGTAGGTTAAGGGCTCGCTCAAGAGTGCGAGCTCTGAGCGACAGCAGTTCGATTCCCAGCCCAAGCTGAGCTGCCAACAGGTGGGCAGGCAGGCTCAGCTAAAAAAAAAAAAAAAAGGGGGGGGGCCTGCAATGGGAATGCCCACCCTACAGCTCAGGGCGTGTCAGCCAGCGTCTGCAACCCCGGCCGGCCTGAGACGTTAACCCAGGCTCTGCAGATGAGCCGAAGACCAAGAAATAAGAGTCAGCAATGACAGGAACATGATAAGGGATTGCAGGGACATAATAATGAGAGACAATAAGAAAACAAATTTAAATCCATGATCCAAGCACTGGTGTTTTACTCGTCACTTCTGTGACCATTTTAATAAAATGCAAGCGATGGGATTCACTTTCAAGTGTATCTTGTTTAGAAATTGGTATATTAGATTATGAAACGTTTAATTGAGCTTGCAATCAATATTTAAATGTTTGGGGAAATCTGAGTTGCTGACGGCATGATTTACGAGTTGTGTGAATACTTCGGGAATATTTAGAGAAACGTTAATTGTTAAAAATGAATAAACTGGACACCAAAGTACATCAAGTAGGGAATGTTCCTTTTCAAGTACAAAAGAGCATTAGAGAGTTTTTAGGTATTACAACAACACGATGAGTTTTGGGTTTTGTTTGTTTTTTATAAAGAACATTCTGGTGGCAGCGAAGGACAGACCACAAAGAGATCAGAAGTAACAGGACATGGGGCGGTAATTCCAGAATCTATTCCCAGTCGTATTCTGCATTTCCCAGGCCTCACGCCTTTGCTCAAACTGTTTGCTTGCCTAAAATATCCCTTGCATCCTCCCCGATGTCCAAAACATACCCACTCTTGAAGACCCAGGTCAAACGTCATCTTTCACCAAGTCTTCCCTGAACCCAAGGAAAGTGACTTCTTCCCGCTCAGGACTCCTTCAAATAGTATACCTGTGCTCTGGTTCTTTACACATGCTGCCCTGCTTTCCAGTCTCCTACATATTCATTTACTCAGCATTTACTGAACACTCACTAAATGCCAAGTACCTGGTGTCCTTTCTCTCTCTCCAGCTGCAAACTCCTTGAGGCCAGCCCAGACGCCTATCTTACGGATACCTGAATTTCCCACAGGGCCTAGCACAGAGGCCTGCTACACAGCCAACATTCAACAAATGTTAAGCATCTGGGTGATGTTATACCTCTGTCCACCTCTGAAAGCTACCAATGCCTGTGTAATCCAACCCAAACTTTTTAGCTGGCACTTGGGTCCTCTATCATCCAGCCCAGCCTAGTGTTCTCTCATCTACAATCTGTACTCCAGACGAAGGAAACGTCTCACCCTCCCCTACTCACCCTGCACCCCTGCCTCCGCCTGTGCAGTGCCTAGCCGACTTCTCTCTCACCAATCGCCTCTGCCTGTCTAGTGCTGCCCACGGCTCTGCCTGACTCACCTCAGGTGTCAGTTTCTCAGTGAAGCCTTTCCTAGTCAATTCAAGTGGACAAGAGACCCCTAAATCTCCCCACCTCCCATGGCACTCCGTTTTACCTTCCTTATGGCCTCACTGCATTCTACTCTGTGTTCCAGTTACTTAACTCTCTCTTTTATGAGACTATAAGCTCTTAGAGTGCAGGAATCACATCTAATTTAGGCTTACACAACCTATAGCCTCTAGCAAAGTGCCTCATTTTGTAGAAATATGCAATAAAGGGCGCTTATTTGATAAATGAGTAAACGATGAAGTTCTTTCCCCTCTTATGTGTCCCCAAGCCCCAGGAATCCCGTCTGAACAGGACTGGGACAAAATGGTCCTCTTTCCAAATATGTCTCCCACAGGGAGAAAGGCTTAAGGAGCAAGGACACAGCAGGCTGAGGCTGGAGTTTCCTTTTTGCCTGCAGGGGCTTCGGGCTCTTACCTCATCCTCAAAGTCGCCCCCCAGTGCTCCAACGTCCAGGTGCAGGTTCTTAAGGGGCTCACTTGAGCTGCAGACACTCTGAAAAGAAAACGATTGTGAGTGGTTAAGTGGCAGGAAACTGGACAGCCCAGGGTGAGGGCCAGGAGGCTCCCTGTCGGCCATGCCTTCTCAGTGAGACCTACATAGGAGGTACACAGGCTGGGCGAGAAGAGCAACTGTGCGCTGGACATTCATTTTTACTTATTTACAAATAGCACAGAGGTTAGACAAAGGTGAAAGCAACCCAAGTGTCCACCAACAGATGAACAGGTAAACAAAATGTGGTCTATGCATACAATAAAGTATTATTTAGCCATAAAAAGGAATGACGTTCTAATACATGCTACAACATGGATGAACCTTGAAAACATTATGCCACACAAAAGAAACCATACAGAAAAGAGTACTGTATAATTATATGAAACATCTAGACTAGGCGAATTCACAGACAGAAGGTAGATCAGCGGTAACCAGGGGCTGGGGAGCTGCTCAGTGGGCACAGAGTAGCTACTTGGGATTACGAATAAGTTCTGGAAATGGATCATGATGACGACTGTACAACACTGTAAAAGTAATTAAGGTCACTGAATTATTACTTAAAATTGGTTAAAATGGTACCTTTCATGTTATACATATTTTACCACAATAAAAAATTTTTTAAAAAAATAGCACAGAGGGTTTCCAGGTCAGGAAGAGGATTCATTACCTGGCTGTCACTCTCTGCCTCGTCCTCCTTGTTGATCTCCTCCCCTAAAGCCAAGAGGCTGAGAGCATTCTTGTCCTCATGGACAGAGTCCAAGAGACCCTTTGTATAAGCAGAAGTCTTGAGACCCTGTGAAGGCTCCAAAATAGAGAAAGAAAGTCAAGGGACTCATTAGGAAGACCTTCAGAATGACCTTCAAAATGACCTTCAAAATGCTATCCCCATGCTCTTTCTATTTAGACGTCTTCTACAGCATGTCCCCCACGTCCACAAAGCTGACACTGGTAACGCCAGCTCACACTTATCCCTTTGCCCAACTCCCACTGGCCTGGCTGCATGGACTGGGAAGTCCCTATGGCATGGGTCCACCCTCCACTGCCCAGTTTCCACCTTCGGCACCATACAGGTGTGGCTCACCTTCCCAACTAGATTCTGAGCTTTGAAGGCTTGGCCCATGCCCTCTGTTTCTCATCTGTGGGCCACAGTTTCTAGCATGGTACACAGGGCACCACTGTAACTAAATACACCGAACACTAGAAAAAGCATTTACCAGCATGAGTTCTCCAAGCTGACCGGACTCCACTGAGTTCCCCAGGCTCACACTTTGAGATCCACGAAGAGCAGACGGCGGGGCATCCACAAGGGCCCGTAAGGGAGCTAGGCCCCCAAGAGGAACGTGGACTGGGGCTAACAAGGGGCCCAGGGCCTGGGCAACAGAACACATCTTGTTATAAACCCAAGAAACCACATGGCTCTGAGAGTGTTGGAGACAGTTATAAAAATAAAACATCTAAATCCTGCCTGCTCAAATCTAAACCACCTCCGTTCAGAGGCTGCTAATGAAACACAACATCCAGAAATTACCATTGTGCCAACTGTGTGAGAAATCACAGGCTGATTGCTTAGTTCTTATAACGCTGCTCTCTCACAGTGAACAGTTCTTTCACATCTGGCAGATGCTGCACAGGGCTCCGCTCTCCTTTCCAAAGCCACAAAAGAAGTGTGAGGGGGGAGAGCAGAGACAAAAGCCTCATCTACCAGAATGAGAAGGCTCAATAGTTTAAAACTGATGAATCAAGAAAAAGCAGTCTAAGCATATTATTTACAAATATGGATGTGAACACCAGAAGAAAGCGGGTGCCTCTGGAGAGGGGTACACACACCAGAGAACTGCTGTATTTTGTTATATGCCTTTTGGTGCTATTTGACTTGGTTTAATATGGGTATGTGTTACTCTGAGTAAAATATACATTAACTATGAAGCAGTATACACGAGCAACAAAAGAGGAACTCTCTTTCCCGACTCCACTGACGAGGAAAGTGGCTGAAAATAAGCCTTGCCTTCTTTTCCCGGTCCTCAGTACGGCCCAACGGAGGCATTGTGTCAGCAAGGACAGGAAAAACCAGGCTAGGAGTCAGAATCTGTGAGACCTCGGGCTACTCAGACTCTTGCATTCTCAGTTTACTCATCTGAAAGATGGAGATTATGTGTGTCCTGTCACTTAAAGTTTATTGAGCAGTTCAAAGGAGATCATAAATGCAAGGAGCATATGTGAGTGGTCCAGGGCTACACCAGTTATGGACTTACCATTATAGGGATTCACATTATAATAGTCTGGGCTTAGAAGCAGAGGCAAGGATGGCATTCTGGGGACAATTTACACAGAGCTCTTTAAAATTCACTTCTCAAACTTAAAATATATGAAACAACACAAAACTTCCACTTCTCTCTAGTGCCACAGGGACTGAAAAAAGAAAGGGGAGCCTGGGGCAGGTCAGGATGAGGATGTTCGGACGGCCCACCTTCTCAGCCACAGCCTCAGCTGGCCGGACCATCAGACGGGTTCTGAACAGGGCCCGTTTCGGCAGGGGCAGGGCATCAGGCACGCATCTGAGGGGTCATATGAGAACCACTCCTGGGCGTTTGTAGATTCCCACTCACCTGGCCTGTTATACAGTATCTTTGTTAGGCAGAAAGGGAGCTGATAAAAGTGGCCAGCACTACCTGGGCATGGGGCACTTAGTTAAGCACCTGACATGCCCTGTCACATTGACTCTCACAACAGCATGAGGCCCACCTGAGCCAATAGAGATTGGTGAGGTCAAGACCCCTGCCCAAAGTCACAGGGCCAACAGGGAAGCAGACATGGACTTGGCACCCAAGGCTGGCTCCAAGCTAGTGCTTTCCACTGCCTCCTAGTCGTGGCAGAGAAGGGGCGCAGGCCAGCTTCTCTCCGGTGAACTGGGAGCAAATGGGGCTGCTCCTTCTGATTTCCACCCTCCCAACCAGCCCCAGTATAGCAGCAAGCAAAATTCTTCCCACACTGTATTTATGGAAAATTACAGACTCCTAACATGGCTAATTTGCTAACACGCTGGGGGCTTGAGGGAGGGAGACAGGCATGCGGAGGGCTTTGTTCTCCCAGGCCTTTACCAAATCAGTGGTTAGCAGGGAAATTATACATTCCTGGCTCCTCGCTGCTCATCTTCTATAGACGGCCATTAACTGACTATGGGCTGTGCGTGGCATTATCCTTCGGAGCGGATAAACTTTCTGCCACTGGGCTAATTAAAACTTTTTGGATAATCTGCAGCTTATCTGATATTTATAGTGCTACAGTAGTTATTAGAGCGAATAGAGAACCAGTGCATGCTAGCAATTAAGAGCCAGAGGTAACGACTGGGTTAAGCCACAGCTGGGCAACGACAGAATAGCCGGGGAAATTCACATTGATCCCCATGGTCTCTGACCCAACTTGACTTCTTCTGAATGAGCAATACTGTGTGACTCTTTAAAGGGACCAAAGGTCAAAATGACAGCAAGCCTAACCCTTTGGTACATCCCAGTACAGGAGGAAGTGAAGGCACACACAGGGTCTGCACAGCTTGACACAGGTGAGTCACACGGTTTCTGGGAACCCTGGGAAGCAAGGAGCAGAAGCAGCTTGCTGGATAATAGAGATTCTAGGTTTCAGCCCTTTGTGACTATGTGGTTCTAAGGGAATAAATTCAGAGCTCGGGGATAGGGTGTCTATTTGGGAGGACCTCTCTATAATCAGCTGATGGGAAAGGCTTCCCAAATCCTGGGAAGGTATCTATCTCATCTCCTGCATGAGTGCTAGGGTCAGCATCGCCTTGCTTCCCCTCAAACTTGATCATCTTCAAAGCATGCGAACCACCCAGGAAACCTAGGTGCCCTCAGCCCCTATCTTGCAGGTGATGGGGTAGAAGAAACGTGAAATGCATGTCATCTCACACAATAGCCATCCTGAGTAGATAAGGGATCAGTAGTTACCAAGGGAGAGCAAACAACAGGAAAGCAGACCAGATGGCTACGTTAAGATGTCCACTCAACCTGCTCCCTTGCTGCCATGTTCACTCAGGCCCGGAGGCCATGCTTTCTAAGAAGCCTACCTGGTCGAGAAGCTGCATCTGGCCTGGCTCTGGAGCAAGCCTGCTGTTGGCACTCAGCTCGACTAGCCCCTGCCTGTGGGGGTTGCTGCTTGGCTGGAAAAGGGCTTGGTGAGAGGCCTCCTGCCCAGTGGGGGTGAGGGCCGCCTCCTGAGGGTGCTCCAGCAGCTCTGACCCCCACGCCAGAAACCTTGAGTCCCTGATGGCCTCGTGCTCGCCCTCACTAGACAGCCTGGCAGACTCAGGTGCCATACGACAGACCATACTGGCAAAGTCTTTGCATGACACTTCCTGCATGCTCTCGGCCAGCTCCAGGTCCTCCAGCCGGCTGGAGATCTTGCCCATCTGGAGGATGTGCTGGTAGAACCTCCGATCCTCAAAGTAGTCTTCACTCTGTGACTGCTCATCATCAGAAGACTTCTGCAGGTTGGACAACTGGGACACTAGGAAGGGGCTGAAGTATAGATCTCTGGGCCCAGGGCCAGACTGACTCATGCCCTGCTCAGATCCCTGAGAGCTCTGCAGGTCCCATGGAAAGTTATTCACCTCATTCAGTATCTGAGAGCCAACATGAGAGGCCAGAGAGCTGCTGCTGTTGCTCTCCAAGTGAGGCCTAGACCCACGAGGCTTCCTGTCTTCTTCGGGGGACTCTGCAGGCTCTAGGGATTGTCTCTTCTCACTGGTAGGAGATGCCCCAGGGACACTTCCTAAAGGGGCTGGTTCTGATGCCAGGGTATCAGGTGGTATTAGGAAGTGGCCCTCAGGTACATCTTCAGCTGAGGCTCCTAGAGCCTCAGGGTCATTAGGCTCTGTTTCCTCGCAGCCCTCAGGGGTGTCCTTATTGACAAGCCTGGAGACCTGCCCCATCCACAGTCCAGGAGGCTCTCTCTTCCTCCTTCCCTGGCCCACACTTCCACCTTCCTCAGAAACACCCTGCCAGATCAGGTCTTCAGCTGGACTGCTATCTAACAACAGCTTGTTCTTCCTGGCAGGCAGCATATGGTCAGATGAACAAGGGGACAGGGAGGGGGCCTTCGCAGAGGGTGGTGAGGGAATGGGGCTCTGGACCTTGTCCCCCGCAGGACCAGTGGCGCTCAGCTTAGCCACGTTGTGGCTGTGCTGCCCCCCTTTCAGCTGTGGGCCCTTGATGGTTTCAGAACGCTCTGAGTGGACAGAGGCCTGGCCCCTGCTTCCTAACTCATCCTGCCCACTCTGGTGGAGCCCATTGTTCTCAGGGCCCAGAGGGCTGGGTTTCTGCTGCCTTGTCCTTATTTCCAGCTTTTCTATTTCAGGGTCTGTAAACCCCAGGTAGATTTTCTTTGTCGACTTCTGGAGTTTCTCCAGACCTTGCTGATCACCTAATTCTGTCCTGCATCGGGCTGGGACCCTACCTAAGATTTTCTCCTCATCGGCAAAGATTTGTTGGGTTCGGGAAGCTTGGCTTTTGGAGAGTGGTTGTAGCCTGCCAGGCCGGGTGTCCTTGAGAGGCCAAGGGGTGTCACCCAGCATGCATGGGCTCTTCCCTTTCTTAAAGGAGCCCTCACTTCTAGCCTGCGTCTCTTGGTCTAGGTTCAAATCAGTAAGCCCAGGTGCTGTGAGAGTGGATGGACCGTGGAGAAAGGAAGAAGAAGGCAGAAGTCCCTGCTCAGGCTGTGTTTCCTAGATGGGTATATAAACATGCAGAGAAAACTAAGAAAAGCACTTCTGATTTATACTTGCTAACTCAGCTCTTGGCAAGCCCTTATCAAAAACCCATACTCTGTTTAAAGTAAAACAAAAACCAAAGAGGAAAGAAAAGCTAAAACCTCCCTTGAGCTTTGTTGTTTTCTGGCTCTAGTTTCCTTTTCTATAAAGAGGAGGCCAGACTAGATCAATGGCTCACAAACCTTGCTCCATGGAACCTGCAGGTTGGTTCTATATGGTGCACTGGGGGCCGCTACAGTGTGCATGTGATGGGGAAGGGGCATCGCCAAGATCCACACCCCCAGGTTCAACCACAGCAGCTCCACTTCTTTATACGCTAGACCTCTTTGGAGGAACTGATTTGATCACACGGCTTCACTACTAACAAAAGTCTGAAAATCACCAACCAGGTTATCCCTAAGGTACCATAAGCTCTCAGTTCTGTGACTGGTTAATTTTATAAAATCCACCAACCTTATCAAGGACTACCAGACCTATTTAAGAAGGCAGAGAAGAGGGGAAACCTAACTAAGCTGAGCCTTGGAAACTCAGTCTAGGTCTTCTACAAAAGACACAAGTTGGTACTGCTCAAGAGAGGTTCATACAGTCAGAATTGTGGGGCTAGAAGAAAACCTAAAATATCAACCAGACCCTACGAGAATTCACTCTAAACTATACCTGGCCCGTGAGCACACACCTCCAGAGAGCCCAAACCACCTGAGCCCAGGTCACCCACTTGGCTGCCCCCTGGACAACTCAGGTTTGAGGCAACTGTCCTGAGCCCTAAGATCCAGACTGGCAGCCCAAGGCTATCCAATTGTCCCCAGCTCCTGAAACCACAGAAGAAATCCTTTTTAACAGGGAACTCAGTCACACACCCACAACTCAGTCTACTACCTAACCCTCCACCCCAGAGTCCTCACCTCATTCCCTCGCCCACCTTTAGTCATGCCACAGCCTGCCCAGATGCTGATTATCGTTTACAATAATCCTGGATTAGTGAAAATCCTACTGTCCACCTTTTGCCTTTCAAATACATGACGAAAATTCAACCTATTTGGTAATTACCTGTCCTCTTTTCTCTACCTGAAGGAAGGGGCTTGTTATCTTAGTTCGCAAAGCCATGAGCAGTAGTATGTGGAGGAGGGAAAGGGAAGGAGTGCCTGTAGAGCTTGGAAGTGATAAAAAGGATAAACTCATCAGTAACTACCCAATGCCAGGACCGACACCTTGGAAAGGATAGAAAGAAGCCAGTGGGAATCTTCACTGAGAAGAAAGCACCAGGCACTGGTAGGAAATAAAGACTATAAACAAAAGAGCATATCAGCTGAACCAGGAGAGGGTTGAAAAGATATTCCCAGTGCTCCCCACCTGGCTGACTCTCCCTCTCCTCAACATGTCCTGCCTGCCTCACACCTGGGTGAAGAGAAGAAGGCAGGTTTCCCTTCGCTGCCGCAGCCCGCTGGGAGAGCCTGGGCCTCACTCCAGTATGGCTCCAACTCTTAGCTTCTCCACCTATAAAATGAGGGTGATAACTCTGCCTCCTAAGTACAGACATACTGAAGGGACAAATAAAAACAACAACAGGAAAGAACTCTGAGCAAAAAAGCTACTTGAGACAAAGGTGATCATGCTGCAATCAAATTTCAGTTATCCACTATGAGGACACTGGCAGCAACGACAATCCATGGGGCTGGGTCAAGCCCAAAGCTTTTCTTTGCGGATCTTGAGGGCACTGGTGTTCTGACAGCTGAATTATGGCTAGGTCTCACATCTAGGAACTCACACCATTGAGATAAATAATGAACCCACACTAGAAAGGCCTGACTCTGAAAAACGGAATAGACACTCCATTCATCTAGGCTCTATGGCCTCCACCAGCTGCTCCCTGTCCCCCGACTCTCCAGAGAGGCAGATGACATCACTTCTTATACTGCTGCAAACTACCATCCTCCACAGAGCACGCTCTCACACTAAACCTATTATGTAATATATGCTGCCCAAAGGGGAGGAAGGAATTGTTTAGAAATAGTAACTTCTAGAAGCTGAAAGGGAAGTTTGCCAGAAGATAGGCATACTCAGATGATGTACTATCAAGAAATCACTGCATTATGGTAATTGCTCTTAACCTCCCAGCTATAAACACCTAGGGGTTCCCAATATCCCTTCAGGGTGCAGCCCTGGCCTCTATGGGAGCTGGCATCCACTGACTCACCAGAGGATTTTTGGAGGTCTCTTTGTCCTTCTTGTCTTTCTTTTCCTTCTTCTTTTTCTTGTCTTTCTTCTTAATGGCCCCAGAAGTTGACAGCTTCCCTCGCTCTTGGATCACCAAGTTCCGATAGTGTTCATCACATGGGTGGTCCCACATGGACTGCCCGTTGGCAAAGTTGAAATAGTAAACCTCACCTGTGATGTCCTGGCTGGGGATGAGCAGAGGTCAGAAGTTAGTCCCTGCTCAGGTCCAAAGCTACTTAGGAAAAAAAGGAAGACAAATGTGAGAAGGCAGAGGAGGGAGAGGGATTCGGGGAAAGGGGAAGAGGGAGAAAGAAGATGGAAGGAAAGGGGAAGGGAGGAAAGGATTAACACAATACTGAAGGGTACCATCTGACTAAGAATAAAGGAGTTAACTTAGATAGGAACAAAGGATCGGGATACCTAGGGACTTCTCGAGATGGAGACATGTAATCATTGAGGTTCTTGGAAATTCATGCTAGACTAGTGTAGAAATAAACCTGGGTTTAGGTGGATAAGTACAAATACTATGGTATCCTGGAGATAAATTCTAGGATAGACCTTGCTTAACATTTTTATAAATGGTCTGAGAAAGAAAGATACACTGTAAAAGCTCTGGTTTTACAGAAGAGTCCAAACTCATAAGAGGTGACAATCCAAGCTAGTAGGATCAACAATAGAAGAAAATAATGTAGAAGGTGGGTTTCAAAAATCTGTGTTTCCCAAGTTCAAAATAAACCATTCATCCGCTCCACCATTATCAATAATGCATTAAGATGGCTAATAAAAACAAACTAACATGCACAATAGCAATATAAAATATATAATACTCAAAAATAAATCCAAAGTGCAAATAAAACTTTACTGAAAAGACAGGAAAAAGAAAAAAATTAAAAACAATTAGAGAGAGAGTCCATGTTCCTGAATAGAAAGACTCAAGTCTATAAACATGCCAATAATCCTCAAATTAATGTATAAATCTAATACAATCCCAATATAATCCCAATCAGGCTCCTTATCAAACCTGACAAACTGAATCTCAATTCAAGCAAAGAAAATACACAGAAGTAAACAGGAAAAATATCAGGGGTAAAAGATAAAACTAAGATATACAAATGGCCAATGAGCACATGACAAGATGTGCAACGACACTAAACGTTAGGAAAAAAAAAAATTAAAACCACAATGAAATACTCCTTCACACCCATTGGCATGGGTATTATCAAAAAGGAAGCAGAAAATAACAAGTGTTGGCAAAGATGTGGAGATACTGGAACCCTTGTGTACTGCTGGTGGCAATGTAAAATGGGACAGCCACGGTAAAAAACAGTAAGGCAGTTCCTCAAAAAATTAAAAATAGAATTACCGTATGACCCAGCAATTCAACTTCAGGGTTCCCAAAATAACTGAAAGCAAGATTCAAACAGATATTTGTATTAATATATAGGTCTTGGGAACTTGGGTTTTAATGCCAATGTTTATAACAGCATTATTCATAATAGCCAAAGGTAAAAACAACCCAATTACCCATCGACAAATAAATGGATAAACAAAATATAGTGTATACATACACTAGAATATTATTCAGTCTTAAAAAGGAATTAAATTCTGACACACGCTACAACATGGATAAACCCTGCAGACATTATGCTAAGTAAATTATAAGCTAATCACAAAAGGACTAATATTGTATGAGTTCACTTATATAAAGTACCCAAAATAGACAAATTAATAGAGACAGAAAGTAGATCAGAGGTTCCAGGAACTGGGAACAATGGGGAGCTATTGTTTAATGGGTACAGAGTTTCAGCTCGGGTAGGTTAAAAACAAGTTCTGGAGATAGGTGCTGGTGATGGTTGTACAACACTGTGAATGTACTGAACTGTATATCTAAAAATGGTTAAAATAATAAATGTTGTTATGTATATTTTAACAGAAAAAAACCTTACAAAAAATTTTGTAACTTATGCACTGACTAGAACCTCTAATACAATTGAAGAGAAGTGATTACAATGGACATTTCTGCCTCCTTTTTGGGTGTATAAGAAAGCATAAAAATTAAAAGACAAGAAACTGGGAGAAAATAGTAGAAATAGCAGTGTAAGGTTAATACACAGAAAAATCAAAGAGTTCCACCTCCTTAACAAAAATTAAAACATAGCAACATGATAGACAAAAAGGCAAAGGATATAAACAAACAAATCACAAAAGATAAACCAATGGCCAAAAGACAGCTAATTCAACTCTATAAACAACTTGGGAAATGCAAATTAAAACAACCAGGTATAATTTCTTGCCCTTAAACTGATAATTTTTTGGATTAATATTTTTGTTTTGGATTGACAATTTCTTAATTGATAATATTTTTTAAATGAACAATTACATGCGCTGTTGGTAGGACTGTTAAACTTTAATGGAAAATAATTTGATATTAACTAACAATATTTAAATTCTGCATATCTTTTAACATATCCATTTAAATTCTAGAAATTTTTTCTAAAGAAACACATACAAAACTTCGGGCAACATGCTTAACTGAACTGAAGACAACATCTGACCTCCCCTCACTCCATGACAACTCAGATACTGCATTAATATATAACAACAATTACAACAGCAAAATAATAAGACAAAAAAAAGTTTTTCAACATAGCCAGACAGAAAGAGAAATTCTCACATGCCAAAAACAGAAAGAAAATATGAAACCTGACTAATAAGTACATGAACTGATAGGTTAAGTTTGGTATCTGACCTGGATATAGGCACTGAGAACCTGGGTTTTAATGCCAATTTATGAACACAAAATGTGGCCTTAACACCTCCATGAATTTGGAAATTGGAGACTCTTGTATCTGGCGCACTTAAGAATGCTGCCTCTGTAGATAAAAGAACCTAGAGTCCCATGGAAATTGCAAGGAAGCATGCCACCCACTCCAGGTTCTAGGTAGGCAAAATAAAATTTTATGGGAAACTGAAAACTCCAAGGCACATGTAGATATAGAGGCCAAAATGTGGTAAGGAAATACCAACTTAGGAAATTAATATAAAAATTTAGTCCTAAACCATTGAAAAAACACTTGGCAGAAGCCATTACAAAGCCACTAGACAACCTAGGAATGAGGCACTCACAGAAAATAACCTCTATGGAAGATGAGTTTACAAAACTCACAATAAATAATTACAAACCACGTGAGGAAACAAGTCACCACGAGGGAAAATTAGTGACACAATGAAACGAACAATTAGCACACCAAAAAACTTGGCATAGGACAATAAAAAGAAGCCTAAATGCTAGAGGATCAAGATGGAGGAGCAGGTAAAGGCTGTGCTTACCTTCTCTCACAACCACATCAAAATTACAACTAATCTACAGAACAGCTATCATGAGAATTGCCTAAAATCCTGCTGAACAGAAGCATACAACAAAGGACATACAGAAGAAGCCACCTCAAGACTGGTAGGAGGGGCAGAGACGCGGAACGGGCTGGTTCCACACCCATGTGAGACTATTGAAAATCAGGAGGGATATCTCAGATGCAGAGGTCCACCCCAAAGGAGCAAGGGGTTCCAGCCCCACACCAGGCTCCCAGCCCAGGGTTCCAGTGCCGAGGAGAGAAGTCCCCATGATTTCTGGTTGTGAAAACCAGTGGAGATTGTGGCTGAGTGACATGGAGGGTGGCTGCAGTCCCAGGAGATCCTCTTACCGACATGGACTTACCGACGGAATCACCGGCTCTGAGCTCCAGCACTGGGGCAGCAGCTGGAGAGGCAGCAGGGACATATGGGATCCCAGACAGAGGAGCTGGCAGAATCCATTATTTCTCTGTTGAGCCCTCCCCCTCCTGGTATGCAGACTAGGCGGCTGCCATATCTGAGTCTCTATCAACATGGTTAATGCCTCCGTTCATTTGCCACACCCTGGTAATTCTGAGATCCCCACCCCACCCAATTTTGGGCACACCCAAGCCGCTTCCAGCGGCTTTTTCATGCAAACTGCCTGCCTTGGCTCATGCTATGGACTTCTCTAGGGTCTCTCAAAGGTTCATGGAACCCAGAGAAGCAGAATCTGGCTTGAGTGTGTCCTGTACCTCTGGCTGAGCAGCCCTAAGCCCAGCACTAGTGGCAGCTGGCCTTGGTTCACGGCTTGGTCTCTCGAGGCACTTCCAAGCACGGTGCAGGCGGCAGCCATCTGCGGATTGCTTTGCGGCTAAACTTGGCTTTCAGCAGGTTCCCCCCATTCAGCTGGCCCTGGGGCTGGTGCACCCAGTGGGCAACTTCGAAAGGAGCCGGAGCATCACCAGGCCTCCTCCACACACGACACACCTAAAGAGCAGGCTGGGAAGGCACCAGAGCCCCACTAAAGCGAACCCTGCTCTGTAGGGTCAGCCCCTGCACCACAGCTCCTCAACTGGAGTCACAGACAGTCCTCACAACCAATCAGCCCGAGGGTCAATTCCTCCCGCTGATGTGCAAACAGCAATTGGCTCAATTACAAGAGGAGGGCACACACAACCCACACAAGGGACACACCAGCAGCACCCAGCTCAGGTGACCAGGGAGACTGCACCACTGGGCCCCACAGGACACCTACTACATAAAGCCACTCTGCTAAGACTGGGAAGGATAGCAGCCCTACCTAATAATAGAAACAAACACAGGGAGACAGCCAAAATAGGAGACAAAGAAACATGTCCCAAATAAAAGAACAAAGCTCCAGAAAAAGAACTAAACAAAAGGGAGACAAGCAATCTACCAGATGCAGAGCTCAAAACACTGGTTATCAGGATGGTCAATGATCTCAAGGAGAACTTCAACAAAGAGATGGGAAACATGAAAATGGAGATAGGAAACATAATAATAAAAAAAAAGTCAGTCAGAAATAAAGGAACCAGTCAGACTATAAAGAATACAATAACTGAAATAAAGAATACATCAGGGGGAAACAACAGTAGATTAAATGAAGCAGAGGACTGAGTCAGAGATTTAAAAGATAAGGTAGTAAAAAACACAATCAGAAGAGCAAAAAGGAAAAAAAAAGAATAAAAAAAATGAGGACAGTTTAAGGGGCCTTTAGCACAATATCAAGCATATCAACATTCACATCATAGGGGTACCAGAAGGAGAAGTGAGAGAGCAAGGGATTGAAAAACTATTTGAAGGAAAAATGAGAGAAAACTTCCCTAACCTG